ATCTGGTTGAAGATGTCCCTGTTCACTGCAGCAGGGTTGGACTACATGACCTTCAACAGTCCCTTCCAGCCCAAACTGTTGTATAATTCTATGATTTATGGTAAACTGTGGTTCAGTATAATGTGAATTATTCTTTTTCAGTAGTTTTGTGGGATTTTTGTTGTAGGTGTTTTGTGGTTGGTTTTTTTTTGTTTTTTTTGTTTTTTTTTTTAAATTTAATTATTTTACCAACCAGCTTTAGTATTACTACCTTTCATGGGAAGCAACCCTTGTCTATCTTTGACCAAAGTACATGATGACATACTTCAGTGGATCTCTTAAACTAGTTATGAATCTGTTTTCTCTGATCACACATATACAGAATGGGGGCAGGGGAAAAAGGTTTGCCACTTACTGGGTACCCTTGACTCAGCTTTAGTTAAGTTGCAGAATATAAATGAAGCTTAAGAGCATCTTCAGTGTATAGAAATCTGTGCCTCATTTGTTTCAATTATTGTAAAAAAAAATTTTAAGTTAAATATTTGCATTTTTTTAAAACTGCTTCTCCCATTTACTACCGCTTCGTATTTGTGTTTTAATTCCTTTCATTTGATGATAGTGTATTGCAGACCATTTTCTAAAGATGGTCTTATTAAAACCTCTTATTTGAAAAAAGAGTTCTCATTTATGTCCCTTTTAAAGTGATCAAACTAGGTAGTTTGTTAGGGTGTGGTCTCTCTTCCCATAAAAATTGGTTAAAACTAACAAGCTGAAACAACGAAAATGCGTGGAGGAGACTTCTTCTTTCAGAGAGTTGTTCCTTTTTTTAATTCTTTTATTTCCCCTGTAGTGTACGCCCATGTACTGTTCCTAAGTCTGTTTTTCCCACCTTTAATTATTGTGGGAGACTCTCAAAGGGGAGGTTTTCCCTTTACTGTCATCTTTGAAGCACCTGCAGAATTAATTTCTGTCCTTTTATCTCTAGTGATTCATATTCAGTCAATGGAGAAATACTTTGTCTCCTGAAATAGTAGTAAGCGTGCTGATATGTTAAGGAAGCATATAATTTATATACTATAGTCCATTTTTTGTGTGTGTTTATATTTAGATACTATAAATTCTTACTTTTTCCTTGAATTGCCTGCAAACCTTTCCAGGTATGGTTTTTAGCCTCAGTTTGCTGACTAAGCTTTCACAAGTTCCTTGCTTTGCCAGGAAAGCAAGCCCCCTTTTTTCTGACATTTTAAGTCCAGCTGCCTTGTGTATTTTTAATAAAAGGATTAGGTAGGAAGGATTGCTCCACCCATGTTAATTGTGTTCTTCTAGTTGGGTGTAAATTATATTTCTGCCCTCTGGGTGTGTAGTAATTGACCCAATTATTCATAGTCTCAGTGGCATATGTTACAGTACTTTTAGATCAGAATGTTATCTAACCTGATTAGTCTTTTCTTCATACTCCATCTCTTGTGTTACTTGGTCATCACCTACATTGGAAAGATAAAATTGAGATAAATGTGAAAGTATATGCCACATGTCCTTATTACTCTCTTATGTAGAAAGAAACAGAGAGTGTTTCTCATTTTGAATTTACATGAAGTTTTGTGGCAGTTGGAGATTTTCCAAGGATTTTAATATTTCTACAGTAGAAACATTTGTTATGTTCAGAGTATTTACAACCCTTATTCATGGTGTTTATTGGGTATGTTCATATATATTTCAAATTTTACATTTGCCCTGGTTGGCTAATATCACTAATATTACTGCATTTGAAGCCACAATATCCTGTCTCTCATTTTGTGTTGAGAAACTACTGTTGTGTTGATTTCCCAAGATGAAATATGAATAAAGGTGTAAATCATGTTATGATTTATGTCTTTGTTTAGACTATAGATGTGTGTTTAAAAACAAAACAAAAAACCCAAACCTCTTTGTATTTATAATACGAGTTTATGCCCAAGGTAGGTTTTAAGTGCAATACTAACTGGATTCGTTCTAAACAGTATTATGGGATGAACTCTTTAAATTTGTTATGAAAATTGTCAGCCCCCAGTTGTCAGGACCTAGTGTTGCTTGAAGTGGTGCTGAACAGTTAAGACAGAGGACAAAAGGGGATGAATATGTAGGAAACAAAGCTTCATTTAATTGAGCTGCTATCAGGCCTTTCTTTCCTTAGCGTTTGACACAGCAATTTATTATGGGTGTCAGTCAGCTGTTCCATCGCAGGTCAAGGATATGTACTGTATGAGCTACAGGTGATGTGATTTCACCCCTTCTCCCCTGACCCATGAAGGATTCTCTCCCTACAAATACTCAGGTTGCCATTCTAATTTTCATTTCTGCTTTTTTTTTTTCTTTGATGCCAGCAAATTTTCCATTTTTCCCATTTCTTCTCTTGGAAACATATTTTAAGTCCTATGTACAAATCTACTTCATATGAATGAAATGCCTCAAGTGTATATATATATATATTTGAAAAGTAGTGTTAGCCTCTTGTGACCAATATTTTTAAACGTGGAAATCTCTTTTTAGGAATGCTAATGACTGCCAATGAAGCCCCTAAAATGAATATCTATTATATACCAGTAAGTAAAACAAATTGTTGGTGATACTGCTCTTTTAAAAAACTCAGTTGTTTGGTGCCATTCAAGTATTCATATTGGAAAATTACTTCTGCAAACTCATGTCTACATTTTCTGACTTTTTATGATAAAGTAAATTTAAGCTAACCATGATTTATTAATGTAACATACTGAATTACTGAAAAAACAGCTGGTAATTTGCCTTTTGCTACCAGTTTGAAAACTGGCTAGCGTCAGTAAGAAATTCAAGTGGAGCTTTGCTGGAAAAAGTAGGTTTTGATAGCTGATCAGAAAAGAATTCCTAAATAGGAACTATATGGCTTACTTTTAAGATAATAATTTTGCTTGTTTTGTGAAATATTTCATTACTGTCTTTAATATGTGGCATATAATGACATAATAATGGCATTAAATGTTCTCTGTTCTGACAAAAAAATGTTATTGTGGCTTCAAGTATGGCTCTTGGCTGTAGCTTCTGCTCAGTGCTCTGCTTGAGTTGCAGCTTTTCTCTTTGAGAAGCTCGTCACTTGAAAGGCTTCTCAGTGGGTTAACTGTATGGTGTATCTCTGCAGGCTGGTTTTAGGGAGACTTAGCAAGCCTTCTGGTGTCAGGCAGTGGTACAGAAAACTACACCTGCATTTCACTCTTGTTTTGTTTTTGATTCTACAGTGCATTCACTAGGGGTTTTTTTTGCCTACTAGGATATATTTGCGAATGTTAACGTGCAGAATAGCTGACCAGACTATAAAAATATGTACGCTTCTTAAGTCATTTTATTCATGTTCTGGACAAACTAGAAAAAAATGTATATTTTGAAATAAATACATTTCTAACTGTTTTCTAAATCAGCCAAGAAGTTTTCATGCAAATAATAAATTTTAAATTAATTTAAATTTTATTTTCTTTAGTTTATTTCTGGGTTGTTGTGTGACCTTCCCATCCCCCACCTCCTTGTGTGGTCTTGATTATATTTAAGATGGAGATTCATCAGTTTACATTTTTCTTTGTGGAATAGACACTATATACCTGTTGTATGTACATGTCTAAACAAAACAGTATACTCCTCCAAATGTTCTATAGTCCGGTTATATTCACTTGTATTACTAGATTTTTGCATCTAAAGAAAAGTAGAATTTTATACAGAAGTTCTTTGTGTGTCATTTATGTGAAATTGTTCTTTGGATGTAAATTATCTATTTCTCTAATTCAGCTCTAACCAACTTACCTTTTGTTAACTGTTCTGTGCTTTGGATAACAAAGGAGGGGGACAACAGATATTTTTGTATTTAAAACAAAGTATTAGCTGTAGTTAGAAGCTTAACACTTTGTTTCTATTTACTTTGTCCTTTGTAAGGTTTAGAGAGTAGCTCTTCCAGCATTTTTTGTCTATTGTCTTTTAATTAATGGATGGGGAAGACAAATTCCCATATTTTCAAAGTCTTACGAGTTTTTAAAACTTGAATGGACTAGTTACTCAATTTAACTAATTCAGATGGAAAAAGCATTCCTTCTGTCGCTAAGGTTAAGGTTCAGCTTCCCTCTGAAAACTGTGCACTGGGTTTTGGTTTTTTTTATGCAGGTGTGCATGATATATGAACTTTACAGCTATAGTACATTAGAGTGCATATCCAACATAGCCACTTAGCCAAAAAATTAACTAATTGTCTTGTTTGTCACCAGCAATGATGAATGTTTCTTAGAATTTGTTCTGGCCAGTATTATTTTGAGTATTCTTGCACATATTGTAAATCAAAATGAAAATTACTTATTTTTTACTCTCTCAAAAATTTCACTCTCGCAGAATCCTTTATGAGTACCGAATTCATGGTTTTGAGGTCAGATAAGTAATTTTTAGTTAAATATAAGCACTCTCAGATCATACTTAGGAGGCATTATAGCAAACCTAAATATTCACTAATATGACCTAGTATTTTTGCAACTTGCAAGCTATTCCAATGAGAATTAACACAAATCTTTCCTTAAACCATCTTCCTTTGTCACCATTTTCTGATTATTGGAACCTGAGTCTCCCTGAACTTGTTTGGATCATACCTTTTTGTGGGTTTTACATTCACAGTGGCACATGAGTATACAAATGGACCCAAATGATGAATGTTAAAGCATAAATCCAAATAGGAGTTCTATTTTTTAAATACTGTTGTGTATAAGAAAATATAAAATTGGATTCGAAGGCTACTGCCTAGATTAAATTAGCTTTTTGAATAAGCTAAACTTCAGTTCTCATCAGTGACTTTGAGTTTGAAGGCTACTGAAGACATCTTAAATACTGGCATGACTTTTTTCTAGTCAACAATCTATGGGTCATTTCAAAACGTGGAATGCTTATTTTAGACAACAGAAAAGTTAAAGTTAGTGAGAAGAAGTTACTCTGAAATAGAGATAGAAGTTTCACAGTCTAGTAACTGGCTTTTTTACCCTGTCTGCCTTTTCATTGGCAAGACTGAAGGGGCTGGCACATATAGTGTTGTATAATTGAAGGATTTCTTACTGCATTTCCTAAAAATCAAGTATGTAGTTCACTAAATCTGTTTTGGTTGGCTGTTTGGGTTTTTTTTAATCTCCTTTTTAAATGAAGAAAATATAAAATGGAGAAGTCATGTCAGCCTTAAGCTGCTCCAGGGCATTTGTTATTAAGGAAAACTCAGTGTTATTAACATGTTCATGTTACAGTTTTGTTCCTTGATCTTTTGGGCTAGTTATTTGAGCTCAGAGATGCACACCTGTCCTTTGGTTTCTATGTTAGTATCTTATTATGGTTTTTTCCCGTCCTTGGAACACTGAGTAATTTCCTTGCACAGGCAAAGATGCGTTTAGTTGCATGTGTCTTTGGAGCAAAACTTGAAAGAACCAGTGATGTGCTGTATTACATAGTCTCTTTTAATAGTTTCGTTTTCTGGCTTTTTCTAAGAAGTGGCATTCACTGTCTTTCCAATGAATAGCTTAATTTTCTATTTGTTTGTTTACTTTGACCTAGACGTGAATGGTACTTAAAATGTGTCCTTTGTTTTTGAGATGCTGACAAGAACTGAGTTATAATTCTTGAATTCCACAACAGAATAAATGCCTGGGGGAAATGCTGCTACTATAAAGGACAGTTGTGTTTCAGAGCTCTTGGAAGTACTTCTGTGTAAATAGAATCCATTTGATTGCCCCAGCCCCTCATTGCCCTGTAGTGCTAGTAATTACTCTTTTTTTTTTTTATTTTTTTTTTTTTTTAAAGTCTTAATTGGAAAAGCTACAGGGAATTACCATGCTTATGGTCAAGGAGGATACTTAAGGTCTCAAATGTACAGTACTGTGCTTTAGCCTTTTAGTTTACAACATAAGAAAAAGATCTTCAGAAGAAGAGATGCACAGAAGTCGGAGTCTTGCAGAACGGGAGTGTATATGTACACGATGGGTGCAGACAGACCCAGCATCCTCTGTCCTTGATTGAAGTTGGCCAGACAGTGTAGGACTGTGCCCAGCCTAATATACCCTGCCTCTCAGCAGGTTTTATTAGTGTGGGCACAGTGCTGTGCTAAAAGAGCTACATGACTTGTGAACTAGAGCTGGCTCGTGTCCGGCCAGCTTGGAGTATGGTCTGACTGAGCTCATGTCTGACTGAATTATCTGTGTACATGTGCCCATTCTCTCCATTGTTAATGCCAAAGCTAAATTTCCATTGCAAAACCAAAAAGTGACTGTCTCTGGAACTTCAGGATTATAAAAGAGTTGACAATGGGTATCATAATATTGTCTGTAAATGAAATAGCACATTTCAGCTTTTCCTGCAGAATTTTCAATAAGATAGGTGTGACATTTGAGACTAGGAATGTCTGGGAGAACTATGCTTTTCTTACAAAAAAAAAAGAAAAAATCACTGCAGTTGTTTCTTTTGTGTGCAAAGCTGTTAGTAGAGGGAAAAGAAAGTGATTTTTGGTTCACTAGGAAGGACAGGCAGATTTGGTTTTAAATGGCAAGATGACTAATGCAGGTACACAGTGCAGGGAGTGAGTAAAAGCCAAATTGAATCTGACCGTTAAAATGAAATGTTTGTTTTGCATAGGTAACATCTTGAGTGGCTTAGCTTATAGACTTTGTTTTTGTTTTATTTTGTTCAGCTTTAATGAGGGCAAGTGCCTCTGACTGGAATTGGGCTGTTTGCCAATAGTTTAATAGTTAACTTGCAGCTTATGCAAACATTTGGAACCTACTTCTTGCCAGCCGGCTTCCTGGTATATGGCTTTGATGTGTGCCTTAGGAAGGTTGAAATGAAAGTTGTGTGTGCCTTGGGATACTTTTCAGACTACTGACTCAGAAACGTTGAGTCAGTCGTGGAACCAGGTCCTGGCCAAAGAAGTGAAGAGAGGAAGAAGCTCCACCAACACATGGTGGTCCACTGGCTTGGCTTCTAAGATGAGCCAGGTTCTCTTAAGTTTAATTGAGGCTGTCAGCTTCCATGAAATATAATGTTCCCTTTTACAGTTGTGCAGAAAAACCTCTACATGTTAGCTCCTGGATGCTCTGGGTGGAAAGCAAGGGGCATAGGTGTTATTTATTCTGAATGTTTACTACTGGTTACATGAACATGTCTGATCTTAGCACAGACATTTCAAATCAGTCCCGTCTCCTTTATTGGACCTGAAATTTTGGGTTACATATACATACTGAAACTGAAACTTGCTCTATTCATTGGGCTGTTAAAAGAAGAGAGCAATTAAGCATGTAATTAATTGAGTGTAATATTGTGTTCTGGATTTTTTTTACTTTCCTGTAGTCTTGGCAGAAAACTCTCTGTTGAGGCTAGAAGCAATGTTCTTTTGGTGCAGAGAAGATATTAAGCTCTTTAAGAAAAAATAAATCCTGGAGCGTCTCTGGCTTCTTTTCAGGTGGTTTTGGAAAATCATTTGATATCCTAGCACTCTCCTAGTTCAGGGTTGTTGGAGTTATAAACTGGAAAGGTTTCAAGGGCAAGTATTTCGTGCCTGCTCAGTGATTCA